TCCACGGACATGTCCGTGGACAACGTCCATGGACATGTCCCTGGACTTGTCAGCGAACGTCCACGGACGTCCATGGACGCGTCCACGCACATGTCCATGGACGTTATCCACGGACATGTCCACGGACATGTCCACGGACATGTCCACGGACGAGTATGCGTTCGGAAGTCCACTGTCCACGAGACGGATCACGTTCGTTTCCTTGTGTTCATGTTGACGAGCGCCCGCCCCCCTGATATGGGTCTCCCACACTTTCGGGGTTTCGATCATCCGCCCGCCCATGAGCAGCCCATGGACAGCCCGTGGGCAATTCATGGTGGGTACTCCATGGGATGCATTTTTGGCAACGGCGGGCCGCCCATGGTCGTGTCCAACGAGCAAGCCTGCAATGCCCATGGGCACCCCAATATGTGCAGCCCATCGTGGGGCACAGCCCACCATGGTGCACATGTTGGGCCTACAAGTGGGCCGCCCATCGTGGGCAAAATTACAGGGAAATACGATTTGGTCAGGATCCTTTTATGGTTGGCCAAAACTATTGGTTGCAGTCCTTAACGTACAACAACTATACGTTCCCGTGATCTCCACGACCAAGACGGCCAAGGAAAAAAAAGAATCGTGAAAGCGTGGGGGTACTCTCCAACATTAGACTATTGAAGAGAATAGAGAACGGACACGAAGATGCTTGGGACCGGACCCCGGCCCTCGTGAAGGAAAGGCGTGCACACAAACTCTTGGGGTTACGTGCACGACCTCCCGCACTACTGACTGTTTTCTTAAACCGCCCATGGGACACCCATGGATCACCCATGGGCCGCCCATGGGCACTTCATGACCCACCCATGGGCATCCCCACGAGCGGCCAATGGGCGGCCCATGAAGTGCCAACCGTGGGCACCTCAACCTAGAACTTCGCCACCGGGATATCAACCTAGAAGTTAGCCACCTTCACACCAACCTAGAACCAGCGCCAAACTACCACGTATCGTGTGGGCTTGGGGTTAGGGTTACGGTTGGCGGTAGGGTCATTTTCCGTTATAGTGCCCGTTGCAAAGCAGATAATATTTTGGTTAGGAGTACACTGGTGTTGGGCTCATTGATTGGCCGCCCATGGGCCGCCCACGGGGTACCCATGGGCACGCTCATGGGCAGCCCATACTGCCCATGGGCCTAACGGTGTGCCCACATGCTGCCCAGGGGTCGTTTAGGAAAACTGTAGAAAGTGTGGGAGACCCTGCGTGCAGCGAACGGTGCTCTTGTGTCCGCCAGCATATTCTTGGACAATTTCCATACTATCATGGAAGGTGGGTTCACCGAAAAATGTCTCATCGACGCCGATACAAGACCCACGTGGGCGCCTTGTGGAATTCCCGCCATACAACGGCTTTGGCCAAGGCGGATGGATGGAGATGGTCACGTGTTAGCGTCTCGTTGGAGGGTGTCGAGTTGACTCCATTTTCACCCGATCATGCCCAATAATTCTCCTTCCGCAGGGAAAAAAGAAGCCTTCGTTATTGACTACCATCCAAGAATCAATGCATTATCTCAAGAAACTATCCTCGTCGAAGTTCATCATACCACCTAACAATGGCATCTCTGTCACGTTTGTCAACGAATGCAAAGATGCCGAGTCGCTGAAACATGGGTGCGCGAAAAGAGTAGTCTTGCACTAATGCAGACCCCATTTAGGACATCTTCGCGGGGGGGGGAGTGGTAGCGGCATTCTTATGGGGTCTTGCCACGGAGGTAAGAGGAACCGTGAGTGGAAGTGCCCATGGTAATTTGCTTATGAACGTGCCACCGCTTGCTCACGGAAGTTTCCTGTTGAACGAAATATCACAAATGAACCGTGTGAGTGTGGCATCTAGCTGCACGACGACGTGCGTCTCAATCCTTCATACCTTCCTAGTTAACAGCCGTAACTTGTGGTATGCTTGAATATCGGAGTCGACACATCTTCCTCTTCGTTCAGGCCAGGACATGCATGGCGCCGAAGAGTAGTTATTTCATGCAGCGGTGGACCGCTTGTATTTTTCTATCTAGACTCGGGCTCGTCAGCCCAATTGATATTGTCGTAAAATCGGTAGGCTGGAGTTTACTCTACCGTCATCCCGATCGAAGCCAAGTACCTACTTCCTGTGTGTGTTCCTCATTACATGACTCTTGCAGCGCTTTTGACTGCTCGCTGACACATTATCTACCAATTTTACGAACCATCGTAATTTCTTCTCTTGCCCATCACTATGTGTGGAAATTCGTCCTCGAATGCCTTCACAGCCGGCTGTCCTAAGACAGGTGCGAATGTGCGAACGTTTGTCTCGAGGCACAACACCCACGACAACATATTCGGTGCCTGCAGCTGTGCTAAGTGCATTCATTCGTGCAAAATACGTTTACACTTATCACTGGGCAGATGAGCGCGAAGACACTATTGATCTGCTATTACCTCAATGTATAGTACGGAGGGAAATACCATGCTTGCTTGTGGATGAGACGGGGGAGGGTGAAGTTGACGGTAGGGGGGATGAAGAAAGTCATGTTTAGTCGTGACGAGACAGAAACGCTACCTACAACTTGTGGGGCCCGGTTGACTGTCAAGTACACGCGGCTCAGATTGATTCTCATTCTCCAACGATCGCGCAGTTGTCAGTAGTATTCAATGGCCTTCTTGCGGTGCGTTGAATACCGTTATAGTGCGACGTTTTCCACCGCTGGGAGGTGGGTTCTTTTGCTGACACCAACCTCCCCCCGGGCGGGAATCGGAAAAGGGGGGAGAAATGTTCGTGGTAGAGGCAGTATGTATCGACTGAGTTGCGTAGAATATCTGATTGGACGATTTGAATACACGGAACAATGTCGATCCTCTGTAGATTGTTGAGCTACCGACATAAGGAACGTTCGTGGTCCTTGTGGTTGGAATAATCTTGTGGACGCTGCGCTAGTCTGAGCATGGTATCTTAGTTCAGGTAATCATCCCGAGAGTTTGTGGAGTGTAGGAAGTCGCAATGGTCCGAGGACTGGTACTGAGATACTGTAGAACGTTGCTGGTGCTCCGGAACGGTTCCGGAACGTGTCCGTTGGTTCGTTGGTTTCCAGGAGTTCGCAGGGTATCGAGGACACGGCTTGCACATCGTGCTCACTCCACTTTCTGACCAGTCTCTCCTGACAAGGGTCTCTTTAATTCAACTACTTTTCCCCAGAAGCTACCGCTTTATCAACACGCTATAGCGGTTGATCATCAGTCGACTGCTGTTTCGTCCCCCTGGACTGTGTGTCGACGGACTGTGAGAGGGCGGCTTGATCACCCGGCCTTTTCGTCATGGCTGACGGGGACCAGCACGCGGACCCTGCGGTCAACCATCAGGGTGACTCGCAGGGTGGTGGTGAGAGTTTGGATGTCATAACCACGCAGCTTTCCCAGTTGATGACTCTGGTCGCAAGCCAACAGAGTCAGATCGCGTCGCTAGTAGAGAACCAAAGAAAGGAGAGCGAGGAAGTGGAGTCCTCTAGTCCGGATCGTGTCGCACCTAGAGATACGGGACTAGAGTCAGGTGTGCACCACTCGGGTGCCGCCGGTGGGGCCGTCGGGAGTACGGGTAGCGCCCTAGGCTCTGGCGAGTCCAGCGCGGGGGTTGGGAGTAGTAGTCTTCTAGGCTCAGGCTTGAACCCTCGTGTGGCATTTTCTGCCGATCAATCAGTTGTTGCTGCAGTAAACCCTGATTTGGTCACCGGTACATTTGGTAGGGCTTCTCAAGTAGATAGCCAGTCCACTGTCCCGCCTACCGCTAACCGCGCGAGTGAGTGGTGGGGAAACGTTGCCGGGGGAAACACATTGATTCCTGGGGCCGACATGAATAATTCAATGGAGAGGCTGGGTGGGGGTCTGCTTAAAACAGTTCCCAGAGCTCCAGAATTCAACGGCACTGATGTGTCGTATCCCTCGTGGTCGCAGAATTTTCTGCTCAAAGCGCGTCACTACAATCTGCTGGAGCCTTTTGTTTCTGATATTGGTGTTCCAATTACTGAGATGTCGTTCGATTTGTCCCCTTTAGTGGAGAAGGGATTCAGTGTTGGGATGTTGCGTCAGACTGAAATGGCTTGGTGGTTTCTGTTTGATTGCCTCAAGAAAGAAAGCTCAAAGAATATGGCCAGACTTGCTGGCACCCCCTTTAAAGCTTTTCGTGCGCTCAAAGACCACTTCTTACCCTTGAGCCAGAGTCAGATTCGTGTGCAGGAAGAGAAACTCAAATCGCTACGCATGAAGCCACACGAAAATCCCGCAACTTTCTTTTCATCGATGAGAGAGACTCTTGGAGTATTGCAGATGCTTGAAGTAAAGAAGGAAGACAGGGAGGTTTGCAATCTGATGCTTGAGGGACTGTCCCCCGAGTATAAGAATCTGCGTGAGACTCTTGTGGTTTTCGGCTCGAATGAACCGTCGCTCATAGAGACAAAAGTACGTGAGAAGTATCTTGACTTGCAGGCCCAGGGTGTTTCGAAGACGCAAGGTAGTGTTGCTCTGGTTTCTAGGCCTGGCAAGAAGAATGGCATGAAGCAGCGTCGTGTACAAAAGTCTAACTCTGAGTCCACTCCCTCCACGAAAAAGTTTTTTACGGGAAGGTGTTTCAAGTGTGGGGAGCAGGGTCACAGGAGGTCCGAATGCAAGGCTCGCTTCGTCCCGCATCCTTCGCAGACCGGACAACCTGAGACCACCGAGGGAGATAGTGGTGAGCAGTCTGTTGGTGCACGCCTATATGATCGTATTACTCGCACTCAAAACTCGATCGCTGCACTGTCAGAGGATGCTGATCGTAAGCTTGATGCTGCTGTTATGCATGCGTATTTTGCTCGCTCACACAAGGTGTTGATAGTGTCAGCGTGTGAATGGTTGACAAGCATGATGTATGATGTTTCTGGCCTGAAGTGTCTGCTGACGTCGCGAGATGATCTGGTTATGAGTGCTGTCAGCAATGATATGATCCTGAACGCTGTCAACAAGTCTAGATATGTCGAGGATTGGTATGCTGATACTGGTACTGCTTTCCACATGACGGACTCTCTCGCCTGCATGAAGGACTTGAAGCCATGCCACAAGAGTGTGAATGGAATTGGTGGCGTGTCGTGTGAAATATCTTTCTCTGGAACGCTGGAGTTGGTGTTTGTGACTGCTGACAGTGAATTTTCCGTGGAGTTGAAGAATGTGCTGTACTCTCCCAACTTGGGGTATAATCTCTTTTCTCCAAGTGCAGAGTTTGATGGCGAATCATGGAATGGTCTTGGTGGTCCTGACGGTGTGATGACTGCTTTTAAAGGACAAGTAACCTTCCAAAACTTCGATGGCATGCTGATTGCGTCTGCATATCGTCTAGGAGAAGCTTCTGTTGGCACTGTGCTTGCAGCCCTCACTCCATCAAACCCCAAGCATAAAACCACGATGGATGTGAACGAGTTCCACAACATTTACGCTCATTCGCACAAGGGCTTGCTTCGTACTACTGCAAAACGTCTAGGCACAGAGTTGGTCGGTGAGATGCATGAGTGTACGGGGTGTTCGATGGCTAAGGCTGTGAAGAAAGGAATCGCTCGAGAAACTAAAAGTAGATCCGACAAAAAGTTGGGCAGAGTTTTTGTTGACCTGGGAGGGAGGAAGGACGTTGCGTCCGTAGGGGGGAAGCATTACCCCATGATAGTGAAAGATGATTTCACGAGGCGTGCATGGATGTATTTCCTGAAACACAAATCAGACGCCGGGATGGCTTTTCGGAGTTTTCTTGCAAGTGTGCGTGCTGATGGTGTCCCATCGTTGGTTGAGATTGTTAGATCTGACAATGGAGGGGAGTTTTTCGGAGGGGAATTTGCATCTGTGTGCAACGAGCTTTTGATCAAACAAGAGTTCACACCGGCTTACAGTCCGCAATATAATGGTGTTGCAGAACGTGGATTGGGATTAATAGAAGAGGCCGCGATGGCGGCTCGTATTCAGGCTAAAGTTCTTTTTGGGCATGTGCAGTTACCTAAAACTGATAAACTCTGGGCTGAGGCAATGCACTGGGCTTGCGAAGCAATGAATCACACTGCGTGCTCTGCCAACCCCGACTCTAAATCACCGTATGAAATGTGGTATGGAGAACCTCGTCCCGCAAGACCATATCCGTTTCTGAAACCCGCGTATTGCAGGTGGCAGCGACCTTCAAAGCTGTTGCCGAAGGGTGAGAGTTGTTTTTATGTCGGTCCTTCGAGAGACCACCCGCGTGATTGCCATAGAGTACTTACAAGGGCTGGGACTATTCAAGAAACGAGGGATGTGACATGGGAGGTATTGCCGTCGCAGCTCCCTCCACTGCAACCGTCTTTGCCGATAGAGGTAGCAGAGGAGGGAGGGGAGGATAGTGACGACGATGTAGAAGACGAGGTATGGCCGCTTGTTGGAAGAGGAGTTGCCCACACACTTTTGAAACGTGAAGCCGTGCCCCCTGGTACTGAAGTTGTCGAGGTTGAGAGTGTTGAAGCAGGCAGTGCAGACCCGTCCCCTTCTGTCCCAAGTTCCCCCTCCGAACCGTCCTCACCCGCAAATCCCTCTGTGTCTTCGCTTGTGCCTGAGATAGATGTGAATTCAGGGGAAATAGAGACGGGGGATCCGGGAGGGGATGATGAGGTAGAGTCGATGGGGCAGGGAGGGCAGGACGAGGAAGAGTTGAATGGGTCGGGAAGACCAGTAGAAACGGAGGCGTCCCCTCCGACCGGTCGTCGTCCGAGACACGTAGCTGAACTTGCCGATTTCAACACAGCTGCGCGTGAAAATGATGAAGTACGAGAAGGCAGGACTCGCGCGCAAACTCGTGCAGTTAATCAGCAGAGTGTTCCTGGCCTCATGGCCACCATAGGACCCATCTCCGGCACAGAGGTATTGTATGCACTTTTGTCGGAGCAGAGAGCAGGTGATGAGACGGAATTGCCAAAAGAACTGGTACAGGATGTTGAGTCAGAGCCTGGTAGCTATGAGGAAGCCCAGCGTTCGAAATATGCTAAGATTTGGGAGGGAGCCAGGTCCGCTGAAGTAGAAGGCTTGATGAGAGCAGGAACGTTCACATTGGCAGTAAAAGTCCCGATAGGCTGTAATGTGATCGATGCTAGATGGGTCTTCAAATGGAAAGCGGACGAAACAGGAAAGATAGTGAAGGCCAAGGCTAGGCTTGTAGCGAAGGGCTTCAAGCAGAAGTACGGTGTGGACTATCTTGAGACTTTCTCGCCTACTGCAAATGCTGCATCTTTTAGATTGGTAGTAGCGTTGGCGTGCAAGTACAACTTGGAATTACTCCACTGGGATATTGAGCAGGCGTTTGTTCAGTCGGAATTGGATCATGAGGTGTTCATGAAGATGCCTCCTGGCTGTGGTTCAATGTCGGAAAAAGTTGTCCGTTTGAACAAGAGTTTGTACGGATTGAAGCAGGCTTCTAGAACATTCTACAAGAGGCTAGTGTCGGAGCTGAAGAGGATTGGTTTCGAGCAGTCTATGTCTGACCCCTGTGTCCTGCGTTTCATGATGGGAGACGAGGTGGTGGGGATGGTCGCGATTCATGTGGATGACATTCTGTATGCAGGAACGAAGAGTCTGGCTGAGGTTGTAGTGGCAGCGCTTGGTGACTCTCTTCCGACGAAGAACTTGGGCGAGGTCAAGTTCTTTCTTGGTTGCGAATACATTCGCGACCGCAAGGCTGGTACGATCGAGATTTCTCAGGAGAGCTACATCAGGAGTGTCCTTGAGAGGTTCAACATTGTTCGCACTAGTTCAATCCCTGCTTCCCTTAACAACGATGACAGGTCCTTGATGGAGGAGGAGGGGGCAGGAGATGTGCCGTTCCGTGAGGTGGTTGGAAGCCTGATGTGGATCGCCAGCCAGACGCGAGCCGACATCTCTAACGCTGTGCGGGCTGTGGCGAGGCACTCTCACGAGCCAAAGAAGAGCCACTGGAAGGCGGCCCAGAAGATCCTCAATTATCTTCTGGAAACGGCACATCTGACTTTGAAGTTCAAGCGTGATAGTTCGGTAGACGTAGGCACGTTGGTGTACGTAGATGCGGACTTCGCGAGTAAGGCTACAGACCGTAGGTCAGTTTCAGGAGCAATGGTTTTTGTGGCTGCTATGCTTGTAGTTTGGATTTCTAGGACGCAGAAATGCGTTTCGCAGTCGACTTCTGAGGCAGAGTACCTTGCGATGGGTGATGGTGTGAAGGAGGCTCTGTTTGTAAATGGAATGCTTCAGTTCCTGCGGCCGAGTGTGAAGCCGCGTAAGATAGACGTCCTTGAGGACAACGAAGGAGCGATTGCGCTCGCAGAAAACCCGCTGAGCTCGAGTAGGAGTAAGCACATCGACGTGAGGCATCACTTCCTTAGGAATTTGACGGAGGAAGGTGTGATCGAGGTCACGCATGTCCCAAGTAAGGAGCAGCATGCGGACATCCTCACGAAGGCTCTACCGAGAGACCTTTTTGAAGTTCACCGTGACTTTGCATTGGGATCTAGGAAGTAGGAGTCTGAATTGTTTTGTTGTTTTGCTTTGATACTTGATGTACTTGGTCTGGTTGATACAACAGCCCCTAGGGAGGGTGTTCGTGGTAGAGGCAGTATGTATCGACTGAGTTGCGTAGAATATCTGATTGGACGATTTGAATACGCGGAACAATGTCGATCCTCTGTAGATTGTTGAGCTACCGACATAAGGAACGTTCGTGGTCCTTGTGGTTGGAATAATCTTGTGGACGCTGCGCTAGTCTGAGCATGGTATCTTAGTTCAGGTAATCATCCCGAGAGTTTGTGGAGTGTAGGAAGTCGCAATGGTCCGAGGACTGGTACTGAGATACTGTAGAACGTTGCTGGTGCTCCGGAACGGTTCCGGAACGTGTCCGTTGGTTCGTTGGTTTCCAGGAGTTCGCAGGGTATCGAGGACACGGCTTGCACATCGTGCTCACTCCACTTTCTGACCAGTCTCTCCTGACAAGGGTCTATTTAATTCAACTACTTTTCCCCAGAAGCTACCGCTTTATCAACAAGAAATACCATCTGCTCATGGGGGGAAACTCCGATTTCACGACTCCAGCCCGAATACATAGGTGATGGGGGGGGAAGGCTCTGGAGAGGGGGGAAAACTCCCATGAGTACGTTTTCCGGCTCTGTTGGTATGCGCTCGCCACAATGCGCACAATCACCGCACGTTGATTCACCCTTATCCATCTTTCAACGTGACCAGTAACATACCAAAGGTTTCCAATGTACCGTATCCCTTCAGCAGGCGTTTTCAATATTTGCTTGCTTCATACTAGTGTCGTGGAGTTTGGGGGGGAGGTTCAGTACCTCTTGCGAAAAGAAAAGTATCGTTTTCTTATTGTTGATGCCCCTTTTTGCGTCACCCTTCACACCGAGTAGAGAAGAACATACTATTACAGACGGTGGTATGGCACCCATACGACCACTCCATCGCCCCCAGGCCCTCGTGACCTATTGTTGCCAAATGTGGTTCATCCGCGCTCAGCAGAATACCGAGATAGTGCATGTCACAGAGCACGGCGCCTTCTTCATTTTGACGCCCATGTGTGGGTTTCCTAACGGCAGATATCAAGCAATCCTTGGTCATGGGGTGTGGCCTAGCTCATGGATCGAGGGCTTGACCTGGAATGAAGAATATATTGAATGAACGTGGCACCGTGCTCAACCATGTCGTTTCTGTTAGCGTCGCATTCCATGCTGCCTGGCTTTAGTGTTGACGTGTAGTACAGGGCACGATTGAGCTAGGCTTCGTACGAGTTTGAGCACGACCCTCTTCTCTTCACCTTGTTTCAGTAGCCTTGAGTACGGAATGCAGATCTTTCACTACTACTTGGGCTTGTGGTGGGGTAATGGCGACGAACAACACATATTGCTAGACGTGGCCCTCAGAGGGTTCGCTGTTCGTGCTTAATGTTCCTTGGCTACCTGTCATCGACCCAAGGCAGACAAGTCGCTACCATGTACCCGGCAGGATAAAGTTCCCGCACCAAGGCCCCCAAACATCCCCTAACCCTAACCCTATTATTACTATAGCGCACATCATGTTTACGTCCCGGTGTCCGTCCCGCCAAATAGGTGGGCGGCGATTTTACAACCAATGGCCGTCGCGCCTACAGGACCGATCACTGAGGGCCAAACGTTCCTTCCTACCATGCCAAAGATGGTTCAAATTATGTTTCCCTATCCTATTTCTCCTACCGAAAGAAATTCCAGGCGTTTCAGTCTCTTTACTTTTCAGCTCATATAGCGGTCGTCTTCTCATGGGAGGTGAAGGGGGCACTCAAAATCGTGCACGCCATTATCGTTAGACGATGGACCTCGCATCCCTACAAAGCCAGGACGGAGCACACCGGATCCTCACAGGACCAGGCTCGCCATCACCAAGCGCGAAGCTCCGTGAGGTACACGGAAAGTCACTTGAAGGGTGCGCTGCATCCTGGTAAGGGTGTTGGGTATCTTGTGCGTACTTCCTGGCATACGGATGACAGCTGCGAATGGTCTCATTTTTTTTTTTTGTGCTTTCACACACAGACACAGACAGGTAAAGCACTGTGCAACTGCCCCCAAGGTGCTTGGCCAATTTAACACAACACGGTGTGGTCATTTTGCACGGAGTGAGGGCTCTCGACTCCACACAACATTGTAATCGACCACCATCATAATTGCTGCAAAACAAAATGAGGAAGAACGATAAAATAGTGCTACACTTTGGGGAATAACGTCCCGGAGGATACCTGCCTCGCGGTAACGTCCGGCTCGTGCAAAGCGTCCGTTGACTCAATCACACAGCTTCAGGGGTNATAGGGCACGTTCTTATTCTTGATAGGATGCGGGTCGGTCAGGAGGTATACCCTTCTGACCCCTACCCCCTTAGAATTGTCTGCTCTGTGTACCCCCTGAAATGAAGTTGGATCCCCACTTCATCCCAGACCTTTGCTGATCGTCTCTCAGCAATAACAAGCAACTTTCCATCTCAATGTTGGTATGTCCGTACTTGGGAGGAGAAGACACGCTTTAACTCTCTCTGAT